GCTTCATTCTGAGTTTGCTACCAAAGATTTGAGTTCTCTCAGTTACTTTCTTGGTCTTGAAGCTTCACCCACTCCTGATGGTCTCTTTATCAGTCAGTTAAAATATGCTCGAGATATTCTTACTCGTGCTCAGTTGCTCGATAGCAAACCAGTTCACACTCCCATGGTTGTTTCTCAACACCTGACTGCTGATGGTTCTCCTTTCTCTGATCCTACTCTCTACAGATCTCTTGTTGGCGCCCTTCAGTACTTGACTATTACGCGTCCAGATATTGCCTATGCTATCAATTCTGTCTCTTACTCTTATGTGACAACAAAAGTGCTATTTTTTTGAGCTCTAATCCTGTTTCTCACAAGCGGGCCAAGCATGTTGAACTAGATTATCATTTCCTTCGAGAACTTGTTATCGCTGGCAAACTTCGTACACAATATGTACCATCTCATCTCCAAGTTGCTGACATCTTCACAAAGAGTATTTCTCGACCTCTCTTTGAATTTTTCAGATCCAAGCTTCATGTTCGTTCAAATCCGACGCTCAGCTTGCGGGGGGGTGTTAAGGATAGTTGATCTGTCATTATAAGGCAAATATCTAGATATTTGCCTTACATTACGGGTTACCATATTTGCCCTTTTACTAAATGCAAATTTATTGTATTCATTTATTATTCTTTCCTTTTATCGCTATTTCCTTATTATTTGTAATTTACCTTATTTCTGTATTCTGTAAATGATTATAAATAAGAGAACTCTCACCACCATTTGGGTGTGGTGGATTAATCAAACATTCACAGGGAGGAAGACACTGAATGCAATTAACATAGAATAGTCAAGAAGAGGGCATAATATACATAATATACATAATATACATGCAAACATTTTTGAGAAGAAAAGTCTTATAAAATGCAAGTAACATAGAATAGTCAAGAAGAGAACATAATATACATGCAACATTTTTTTCTCTACAAAGAATAAAAAGAAAGAAATAGGAAACCTATTTTGAGAAGTCAGGTATATTCTAACAGAAATTCATATAAACATACCATTGGGTGGTCTTCAAGAAAATGCCAATTTAGGTGAAAATTTTGAAATATATGCTCACTAATAGAATAGAATAAAGTTTGAATAGTTGTACTAAATGAAGAGTGCAGTGCAATTCTGAAAGAAAAGATCTCGCTAAAAGAAAAAAATCTAGGCTCATTCACTATTCAGTATCCAATGGAGAAAATGAGCTAGGTAAAATATTTTGTAATTGGGAGCGAGCACCAACTTAATGTCTCAATCCATTTATAAGAAGTTAGGGATTGGTGAGGCTAGACCAACTGCAGTCACCATTCAACTAGCGGATAGGTCCATCATGATGTACCAATTACCTAGGTGAAACAATTTTTAAACAATGGGAGAACACCACTTAGATGTTTGCAAGGGAACCATAACATTTAGAAGGGGTGATAAGAAAATTCAATTTAATATCAATGGCTACTTGACATAAAAAAAAAAAAAAAATGCTTAGCAATTTATGAGCTATTAGAGCAACCAACCGAATAGAAACGTGATGGTTGGGAATGTAAGCAACAAGAAGACGACAACAACTGGAGTGATTCCACTAAACCACTAACATTTTTAGATGAATTCAGCAAAGCGTTGGCTCTGCATTTGCTCGACGTGTGACCTACACCTAGCCACGACTCAAACTTGGCTCAGCATCGGCATGTGTAGTGGCTTATTTGGATCAATATACAAATTTTATATCATTTCTTAAGTTTTTGACCCTCCTCCAACTTTTTTTTTTTTAAATACTTTTTAAGGGCAATTGAGGTCGGTAAAACTCTCATTTACTTAATTTTAGTTAGTTTTAAGATTTATATTGAAAATAATTATTATATTTAGCGAAACTAAGATATTAATATGTCCTAAAAGTGTGTGATATGGATTAACATAGGTAAAATTAAACATTGAAGTATAGTTTCGAAGTAGTTGCAAAATAATTAGAAATTTCGGCCAAGGCCAACTAAATAAGTGACCTAAGAGTTGGAGAAAAATAATTGAGTGATATATGATGGTGCATGCCCCGTAGCTCTTACATGCACCAAATTATTTATATTATGTATATGTGTTCTACGTAATGACAAATGATGTTATGTTATGTTTGCATGTTGTAATCATACGTCTTATTGTGAATTAAATGAAATACTATTATCCATGTTATGTCTTGTCATCTAAAGATATGTGATGGATTATGTGACGACTGCCATGTATACATAATGCATGTATGTACTATGTAATGGATGAAAGGAGAAAGAAAATGATGTTAATGTTATGTCATGAATGTAAATCATAGGGACATCAACATGTATGTATGTCATGTACATCAGGATACTTTTCCTTTATGTTATGTTAGTACAGATGTGTACCTTCAGTATTAATGTTTGCGATGATATAATGCGAGCCTTTCCTTTTTTGTGGCATATGGCGACGTGTTAACCCATTGTACCCGACCAAGCCAAACTCAGGGGATATGTATACGAGTCTGCATGGTGGTTCTATGTGCGCGTGCGTGGGCCATGTGTGGGGAAGTACCACACATTTAACCTTGTCAAGAACTGAAAAGAGTCCAAGGTCATGTTATGGTTTTAAAAGATACGTTCCGTCATTATATGTATGTGATTGCCTTACTAACCCCAATAGTGGGGTGACTTACTAAGTATTTCTTGAAATACTCAAGTTACATGTTACCCTTACTAGGAGGTTTATTTCATTTTTCGTGTTCAAAGACTATGTAATTTCTATTTTCTTATATTAAATTAAATGTATAAGTCTATGACTTCATTTATAAATGTTTTATTTCAAATTTTTGCATATGTTAATTAAGGCATGTATGTAGTGATGTCTCTAATTTAGGCAAGAAAATTAGGGGTGTTACCGTCACACTGTCATTTAAGTAGAGGTGGGTTGTTACACTCCCAAACTTACACAGGTTACTTCGGGTAAAGTCTCAACTCTATGGAGAATAGGCGGGACTATGTTAATCAGTATTAATAGTAGTAATGCCTCAGTCTCATAATCAATTGAGATTTCAAGTTACATCTTATGAAAATTGCTTACAGAGATATAATACAACTATTGGTGTGATGTTGTTCGAAACTTTATATTGAAATAGATAAGGGCGCAGTGTGCTATGATGAGGTAGGCAAATGTGAACGATTAGAACAAGATTTAGTCTAATCCACCAATGAGGTCATGTAAAAGATCAAGACAAGAATGTGCATGACTCAGAGTAGACAGAAGATTCATGGCCAATGTGAGGAATAGAAACTTGGAGTTAAAGGTAGGCAAGAAGCTATTTTCGACTAAAGGGTAAGCTAAGCCCACGATTCATCAGACCCTTCGATATTCTAGGTCGGATCGGATCAGTGACATACAGTTTAGCCCTACCACTGTCTCTCACCATGTGCATAACGTATTTTACTTATCCATGCTTCACAAATACTTGATTAACCCGACACACATTATAGATTACGAACCTCTCTAGATAGATGAGACTTTGAGTTATTCTAAGCTTAAGTTACTTTTGAGGATGAAAGTTTCTTTTAGATTTGTAATACGTAACAACCGAAAATTAGAAAGAAAAACAGTTGTTCCACGTCGATTAGATTGAGAATGTGGAAAGTTATAATCTAATATAAAAGAGATGTCTTTTGCCTTACTAAGTCACAACAACTACTCCATTTCATCTCACTTTGATGATTTGAAGAATCCATGTTCTAGTGGCACCAACTCGACTTCTTGACGATTTTGAGCCAGTCAAAGAATCCATGTTCTACAATTCGACCTCTTAGTTGATCCAGCTCAGACTTGATATTTGGACACTTTACTACCATTTTAAATTCTTTGAGAGCCATTTCTGAACTTTTGGAGGCATTTGAGGTTAATATGGCTATTACTTTCCTAATTTAAATTATCTAGGGTTAAGTTTGGATTGCATCAGGCAACTAGATAAGCCAATTTGCATAGTAAAATTCTTAATTACGATGGTGGGATTTCTTTGATGGAATAAGATTTCAATTAGTAGTTTTGAGCTAACATCAATGCAACATGGTCAAACATTCTTGCTCCACACTTTTAAGATTGAAGATTATCCCCATATACCAACATATAATTGCTCCAAGCAAATCACGCTTAACTTTCGAGTTTTTATGATTAAGTCACCAAAAAAGGCGGTGCACCTGGCTGGTATACATAGTAACTTTCAATTCTTTTCAGTTTTTTTTAGTCTCTAATTGATCTCGAACATTTTGTTAGAAGACTCCTCTCATTCATTGTTTTCATCTTCCACATACAATCATACAATTTCAAAATTAATGCATGGGATGACAGATCTGAAAGCTAGGTACAAAAAGTTGGTGTATTTTTTATGGGAAAGTTATTGGGTTTGGTGATACTTCAAATTCAGCTGCAGTCAAGCTTCTTACATCCCACTTATCAGTATTTAAAATTCTCCTGCAGACATGGACTACACACTGTCTCTCCCTCTGCACCCACCCAAGAATGAACTAATTACCCTTCTGATACACTTTAAATTTAAAACAAAAAATTCTTCGAGAAGTTGAAAAATAAAAAATTAGATGAACATATTGATAAAAATGATGCCGTTGATAACTTCGAATGTGAGTAAATCATAGCTCAATCGATTTGCCTGCTAATAGTAGGGTTATGCGTCTCCTACCTCTCGACACTTAATGCAACGTGTTTGTGATAGTTGGCGATCGGTTCTATTAGTTCAGAAAGAATTGAATTACGCCTTACCGACACTGATGGTAAATGTATGCTACCTAAAAAAATTATTTCGATAATTGAGTAAGTTTTTAGAAGAATAATTTTGTTATAAACAATTGTAATACTCGAGTAGAGGAAAGAGTACAAAGGCTCTTAAGAATTGAAAGTTATAACATATATCAATAAGGTGCCTTTTTTACTTTGGTGGCTATATAGGTAGAAAATTCGAGTGACATCCTATGAATTTTTCAGAGAACAAATTTTGCTGAAAGAACTCTTTACTCTAAAAATCGAGTAGTAAGAAGTCTAATCATATCGCTCAAACTCCGAAGAAGCGAGAAGTAAGGAATCTAAAAGGACTGTCACTCTTATAGGTGAGGAGCAAGTAATCTAATCATGTCGCAGAGAAATGTCGGGTCTATCAAGTATCGAATCTGGATTTCAAATCCTGATTTGAATCCTGGACATGAGTCGTTATAATAATGCAAAATATATACCCGAGCCATTTTTATTATGACTATTTTTTTTTTTTCAAGTTATTGGTCAAAAAAATTATTTAATTTTTTTTAGGGTAGGGGCTACCTGGTTGAGATGGTTCCAACTGTCCATGCACGGTTGAGACATCAATTAAATTAAAAGGTCAGAATTATAATAAATATAATAGCAACTTTAGAAAAAATAATAATAAAATATTATTGTTTATTTTTTCAAATAATAAAAATAAAACATTTTTAAAATATCCAACTAAATATTTAACAATAAAAAAAAAATCAAATCTTATTGAGACCGTTTTCCGTTGGACATCAATCATTTCTCAAAATATTTATTCAAATCATTTTTTAAATAAAGATTTAATTATAAATAATTCTTCATAAATAAAATCTTCAAAAAAAAAAAATAATAATAATAATGGGATTTTTGTTTTGCATCTATATTTATTTTAAGTAAAATAATAATAATAATAATATTCAATAAATAAAAGAAATTTTACACGAGTTTTTAGGTAATTTTAAGCACGAAATGGATTACGGATGAAGTACGAATGTGATTATTAATTTTTTAAACAATAATAACTCGAAAATCAAAATCAAAACAGAAGTGGTAGAAATAGAAACATTAACAATAACAATAAATGCATGAACAAGTAAATAAAAAGCCTAAAGAGTAGGAAATTCAGTCGGCTCACATAAGATGGACCTAAAGATGAGTATTAACTCCTACATGGATTGATAGCAGGCTACCATGATCATCGTCTCGATCGGTATCAGTTTGGTAGAAGAACACGAATTCGGGAAGAAAATGAAAGATGTGGAGGAGAAAAAATAGAGAGAAATATGAAGAGATGAGCAAAGAACTAAAATTAGAGATGCTTCAAATGAAGAAAGTATAGGAAGTATATATAGTTAGTTGTAGGTACTGAGTTTGAACAGTGTTACAAAATTGACACTGGGAAACTCTTGTCTCTAAATTTCTTATTATTTATTATTATTCCAAATTCATGTCGAAATGTTGGATAAAATTGTAAATTTTAAATTTATGGATCAAATAAAAACAAAATTCGTATAAAATTAACATTTTAAAATCTAAGAACAAAGTTGAATTTATATTCAAAACTATGGAGTAAAATGTAAGGATGAAATCTAATTTTTTTTCACTAAACTCATGTCCTCGACCGCTTGAAATAGCACGCAGTTAGAGAAAGTAGGTTGTGACCTTCACACGCAAGACAAACAAGGGACAACCCTCAATTGGCCCCTATCCAGCCACGTGAAAACCATGATAGACAGGTGGCATGAGGCGATCAAGAAGAACGGTGCATCCAACACACTGAAAGTGTGCATTTAAGTTAAGTTGAGGTATATGCAAGGTTGGAGAGGATGAGGCAATACAAGTGTCGAAAACAAGCTCGGAGAGGGCCGTATAAGGCTCTGAGTCATAACCTCAGAAATCAGAGTTTGCGTCTCTAGAATTAAGTCTATCTATATAAAAGATAAAAGCTCACTAAATTTGGTTTTAATCGGATACTTGACGAGCGCTCCATGGGGTTGTATGACTACTAGCCAAAATGACATCTACTCCAAAAGATTGGAAATGCCTCAAGATGTACTATAGGGGAAGTATGCTGTCAGTTCTCCACAACCCCTAAGCCTTGTAGCCTAAGCGAGCTACCATGTGACAATGAGACAAGTGTCTTCCTTTGAAATGAGTCTTTCAAGGATAATGTCAGATGGCACGGGTGTGTCAACATTGCACCCTAGCCCATGTGTCGAAGGTTGAATTATACACTCACTAGCTCGAACGGATTCCATAAATGATTTAGCATGGACACAGGAGGATCCAATGCCTCGATAGAATCTAGATGGATAGATGTTTGGTATGTCCCAATGAGATGAATGACATGTGGGTCAGTTTCGATTGATATATCAAAGCAAGCCAAGATGGTTCAGCTATCTTGAGACATATGACACATCACGATGCATGGATCATTCGATGAGAATCTAGATGATTATGAGATGCGGCGTTGCGCACGAGAGACCATGGCCTAGAGTAGTGCAAGGTCGAGTCAGATGACTTGACCTAATGTAGAAGTAAACTGGCTAGAGTCGCATACAATTGAACATATACTGACAAACAGCTTGTGCGACTAAACAAACTTAGATTCTACACAAGTTGTGTTCGGTTGGTGAAAGAGAGCCTCGTCTAAAGTTCGAGAAAGCCATGAAGATGAGTGAAAAATGTGAATGAGACTTTAGTTCCCCTTAAGGCTTATCATGAGAGTGTTAAGATCATGACACCAAACGATTGAAGAAGAAAAACTCATTATAATTTTGGATATATAAATATAAGGGTGTTTGTTTGACGTGCTAACTTGATCAATATAAGATTACCCCACCCAAATTATAAAAATTGAGTTGGGTTGAATTTTTGAAAAACCCAAAATTCAGTTCAGTTTGCGGGTTGTAATTTTTTGGTCGAATCAAGCTGACCAACTCGAAAATAGTGTTATAACTTAACTCTATCTTTTCCTAAATTTAAAAAGATTAATAATCTTTAATATTTATAATCGATATTAGTGATGCAAATGTGAGTCGTAAATATTTAATATTTGAGTTTTATGAGATTTTAGTTATTAAAGAACATGTATTATTGATAAGTAGTATTTTTTAATAATTCAACTTAAAGATTGTGAACTCTATTAGATTTGTCCAGACCACCAACCTAACCATCCCAAATTTCGGGTCGGTCTAAAAGATTTTTCCAACTCCTGTACACCTCTGGATAAATGGAAACACGAAACCTACGCAACAATAAACTTGAATTATATAGCGGTTTTCGAGCTCAATTTACATTCTAGGTCACTATCACACTGTTTCGAAGCTCAAATATCCGTCAACCACGATTATCAAATATTTATGAAAATTAGGAGGTAATATTACAAGATTTCCTTTCCAATTTTGAAAAGATTCTTAGTGATTCTTTTGCAGCCATAGTAAGTTTTACAATCCAATCATTGATGAGTTGAAAGAAAAGTAGAAAGAATACAATCAAGTGTGTAGGTTTAAATGGGGTCTGAGATTGTCTGATGAAGATGACAAATGTGTGGTCCTAATATGGTTATTATTATTATTATTATTATTTAGAAATGTAGATGGAAAAAGTAATTACGTATCTTAGTGACGATAAAGTGACATTGATGCACGAAACATCTGTATTTCCTCCTCTGCTGAACCCTAATGAAGGTGGTAGCGATGGCGGTGGTTGGCTGTCACCCGCCATTAATTCTATCATCCTCATACAACATATATTTTTATATACCTACCTAAACCTATACCTATACCTTACAATATCATTTATATCCGTTTCTTCTCGATCTTTGTAGCTAACCATTTTGGTTTCGTTTGATAATTATTTGATTTTAGGGTTACCCTTAAGAGGGTCAAGGTTGCAAAACCCTACGAATGTCGTGATTGGAAGAGGGGAATGAGAGCGAAGGAAATAAGTGTGAGATCCCACATCGATTGAAAAGGGGAACGAGTGCTAACGAGAACGTTGTCCCCGAAAAGGGTGGATTGTGAGATCCCACATCGATTAGAGAGAAACGAATACCAGCAAGAAACTAAGCTCTAAAGGGGGTGGATTGTTAGATCACATATCAATTGAAGAGATTAATGAGTGCCAACGAAGACGCTGGTTCTAAAGGAGGTAGATTGTGAGATCGAAAAAGGAAACTAAGCATTGTTTATAAGAGTGTGGAAACCTCTCTTTAATAGACTCGTTTTAAAAACCTTGAATGAAATTCGAAAGGGAAGGGCAAATACGACAATATCTACTGGTCCAAGATGATTTTAATATTTTAAAAATTTTAATTTTAGTTTTAGTTTCTAATTTTTTTTAGGTACATATAAGAAATATTACACAAAATGATTATTTATTTATTTATTTATAAGAATAGAGACTGAAATGAAAATGAATTAGTATCATGTATTTAGTAGTGATAGGAGTATTTATTTATTTTCTAATAAATATTAAAAATGTTTGATAGCTTTTACAAAGAATTTTTAGATGAAAGGTCTTTGGCAAACATAAATAAAACCCTACCCACATTTTAAAACATGTTTTGTTTTGTTTTTTTTTTTTTTTTTTTTTTTTTTTTTTTTTTTTTTTTTTTTTTTTTTTTTTTTTTTTTTTNAAACCCTTAATTGATATAGTTGAACTTGAAAAAAAAAAATAATAAAAAATTCTTTTTTATTTAGACATTACGAAGAACATCTGTCAATTTTTGTATAATATTTTGGAAATTTATGCTAAATTAAAACCTTAAAATGCTAAAATATAGAATTTGAGTTAAAAAAAAATAATTAAATTCTCATTTAATTGTGTAGACATAGTAACAAAAAAAAAAAAAAAAAAAAAAAAAAAAAAAAAAAAAAAAAAAAAAAAANATATTCAAATTAAAAATAAATATATATAAAAAAGTTTAAATTAAGGGTAAAATAGGTATTATTTAATCATGATTGCCTTAAGATTATTTTTAAAGGATATTAATAGAATTATTTAAAGTTATAGATATTTTTTAATATTTTAAATAAAGTAAAAATGTTTCTATCTAAATATTTTCAAAAAGAATTTAAGAATATTAGTGATATTTTTAAAAATATTTTTGAGATATTAATATTAAAATTTGGGATATTTTTATTAATTTAGTTTTTTTTAAGGATAAAATTTATTAATATCATTCATTTAGACTAATAAATGGAGCTAAAATAGACTATTATAAATAAATAGACAATAAATTCATTTCAAATAATTACATAATAAAACTTTATGCATAATATCATAAATCAAATATATAAATGTTGGTGACGTCATGATATTATTTAAAAAATACTATAATGTAATCTTAAAAGTGTTTTGAAATAAATTTAAATCTTTACCTAAAAAGTTAAAACATCTTTATTAAAAGAAAAAACGAGAACTATTAAAGACATGTCGTCTTTACAAGAAGATTAGGAACATGTTCGAGAGGTATTCTTAAAATGGCTAAAACCCTTTTTCTTTACAGTCAAAATCAATATTCGAGGATACGAAATATGATTTGAAGTATAAAAATTCAATAATAATGGATTTTAGATTACTACGTACATGCAAGGAGAGATTTTAACCACTAAAATCACTTCTAAACACGTCGAGAAAATTTAGCAAAAAAAAAAAAAAAAAATTAAACATCACCCTTGACCACCATGCAATATTAGTTCAACATATTAAGAAAGTAATCACTTACGAAGCACCTTGAATGATTAGATCATCATTATCATGAACAACGGATTAAATATATGTTTTGAAGAATTAAACTCACAAATCTCAAAGGAATAACGTAGGAATTTAATGAACTCCATCTCGGTTTCTTTTCAAGCCAACTTTTTGGGCGCCGTCTTCCCATTTCCACCATAGTTCTTAGCATGAAAATCAGAGAACAAAGCCAGAAGCGAGGAGTAAAACACGACATTAAAGCACCATCCCCACACACCAGCACAGCCAGATCCTTTATGAGTGACATGAAAATAAAGCATCAAAGCCAACACCACGAAGCTAAACTGAAATTGCACAATTTGACACTCGGTAACAAGCCGTTTCCACCGTGGTCGCACCCCAAGCGCGCACGACAAATAATACGTATACATCAAAACATGAACCGATGAGTTCGTCACCAGAACCAATGGAAACAACGATTGAGATGAATGTAGCCATAGATAACACATGATTACCACTGTCGCGTGGTGGTACACGTGAAGGAACGTAAGACGTTTGATCGAACCACTGAGGATGATCAAGAACGTGTCGATAAATTCCACGATCTTCGAGAGGT